GGTAGGAATAGGAGGAATAATTCGGCAAAGAAGTAGGATAAATAAGACAAATCCCCTTCACAAGAATGCATAATCTAACTTTGTCTATCCCTTATTCCTACATCCTCAGAGAAAGGTTTTCTTTTCCCTCAAATAAAACTCAGAGGTGTATTTGTTTCTCCATAGTTCCCTTCTATGTTCAGAGGGCAGCCGGGTAAAAGATTTGTCAAAGAAATCTCATAGTTTCAGCTTCTTCTACATGACTTCCTGGTTTTTAATGGACATAGCGGTTACATTCCAAAGAAACCCTAAAATAGAAAGAATTTAGCCTGCTGTCTTAAGTCTTTAATGAGGGCCACTTCTCTACGCATGGACACTTCAGGCTTTTATTTTCAAAAGAAAAGCCACCTTAGAAGCTCCATAAGAAAACAATAGTCTTAGGACAGACTGGAAAGCTAAAAGCATCCTAAAGGTCATTGAGACCCTGCCTGCATTAACAGGGTGGTTGGCAACAACCTTGTGCCTTGTTCAAAGCCTGCCGTCTCTCCAAGGCCTCCAACCTGTCCCCTCCAGCTTGCTCTCTGATCAGTGAGATTCTCTGTGTCTTTGCATAACGGTCATGGAATCCTAACAGCTGCAAAACATACTGAAAGGGGATTAACTAGATTGATTCCAGTTTACTGGCTGAAATACATGACTCAGAATGAGAATCTCAGATTAGTACTACAGATTGTCTTCCCAGATGCTAGGAAATTCAGACACCTATGTAATGCCTCTTGGAAAAGTATCATTTCCTCAAAGCTGCAGGAAAGAATACATAAACAATGAAGTGCTCAGAATTCCTCAATGGAGTTGTTCAGTTTCAGCCACATGAGTTCCAAGGACAATTATAAGGACCAAATCCATTCAGTGATATAATGACTCAATTTTCTTCAGAATACATCTAAGACCAATATAGGAAGAGACTGGATATGGACAAAAGAAAAAAAAACAAACCCACAAGATAATTTGCTAAATTAACTGATTAAACACAGAAACCACAGCTGGTTTCTAGTCATCTGGATGAGTTTGTGCATGGCTGACTCAGGCAATTTGGAGTGTGGGGTAGACCTAAGGAGTGTGGGAGCAGCAACATGTTTATTTGCGCTTAAATAGAAACACAGATAGCTAGTCCAAGCAAGAACTTCCTCCACAGAAAGAAACTGCAAATAACCCATCCCCTGGCTGCCAACTAGAGGCTTATTTTAGAAACAGTAAGTAGGAACAGGCTGCATGGCCAGTCTAGGAGAATTCAGAGGTGCTCCGCCCACACACCAGGCAATCATTAGCATGTCTACTCAGTTCTCAACCATGTAACGGCTGCAAACAGACAATAGTGGGAAACTGTCACAGAGAAAGAAAAAAAAGTCCTGGCAAAGCCTGTTAATTAAGAAAAGATGGAGGGGGATTTTTTTTAGAAAGCAATTCAACTCGAACAGAGGAAAAAGTTTCATAACACAGAGTTTTGAGAGAAAACGACTCAAAGGAAAATGAATCAGTAAAATATGTTATCATTCTGCAAGGTGAAACCACAGTTACTTGTTCCTCAAGCATTCATCGAACACTTACTAAGTACAATGCACCATGCTAAGTTCCATGAGGGGAAAAGAAATGAAATCAGACAATTTATACCCTTTGGCCAATTGGCATTTACTTGTGAGGATAAAATATGTATACCAACAACGGCTATATGCAAAATTACAAGTTTTGGTCACTTGTGAAATGGAACATGCCAGCTGTTCAGAACCGTTGCCTTATTATAAGCACATTGCCAGGTGAGCTTAAAAGGATGACAAGATGCCACCCTTGACTTTGGAAGAATAGGAATGTTAAATGTAGATTGTAGAGTCAGGTTGACTGTCTTTTTTTCATTTTCCTTTTCTTAAAACCCATCAACTCAGGAAAGTCCCCCTCTATATATTGATAGCTCACTCACACCACAAACTATGTGTCATTCACCCAGCAGACAGTTCAAGGCCGCTGTCTGGAATGGAGATATCAAGAACAATGCAAGCGCGAGAGCAGCCAAACAAGCCAGGTAAAATCAGCCCAACGCAAACAGAACCAAGGACGAAAGGCAAATGCAACTAGGACTCCTGAGGCACTTAATGGAAAAAAAAAGTTGTTTACAAAAAAAGGGAGAGTCATTACAGAATTAAAAATCAGATGACATTTGATGAGAAAAGGAGAATAAAAACAATTTACTGATTAATCATTATTACTCTTGATCACCACTTTATGAAGCAGTTCCATTTTACAGATTAATAAACTTGCTATTGAGCAGAGATAGGAATTTGCAGAACCAGAATTCACTTATCAGCCAGTGAGCTAACCACTATGCAATCCAGATTCCTACTATGTGGAAACTGCAAATAGATAGTGATAGCAATGGGTTCTAGACATTTCCATCCTATACCCATGTTTCTTCTCTTACTATAGGTTTTAGGTTGGGCCATGTGCATCAAGCTTCTATAGGCAAAGGATAGCACAGAATTCAAAGTGAATGGCATGTTCAGCCCACAGCAGACAGCAGACATTGTTGTACACCACCATTTTCAACCTGCCCAACTCCGTTTTGTCCCTCTTCTGGGAGTGTCTTCCTGGAGCCTTTGTTCTTGGGTAGGCTGGAGTACATGGAGAAAAATGAAGCTTAGCTATCACAAGTAATGCCCTGATGTTCAGAGAACCAGGCTTATACCTTCGAGAACAAAGTCCCTTCTTCAGAGCTGCTTCAGTACATCTAGCCAATAGCTACCTGGCCCTTTGTTCTCTGCAGGAAAGAGTTCAGGGTCCAGGCCTCACGCAGGCCTTTAATTCAAGTGAATGGACATAAAGGAGGTTGGGAATGAGGAATGCAACATTCAGTTAGGGCAGTTAGGGCAGTTGGGCCACTGTCTATTTGCAGGTTCCAATGACTGGCTTCAACCAGTTTTAAAAAATCGAGGTTGGGGACAGAGTGAAAAACATGATGAGAAATATCCTAGTTTCTCACATTTCTTAAGACTGGCTCTGAAATGGATCTGCTTAGTGTGTGGATGTGCATAAATGCTAATTATTTGAAAGGAACAACTCCTGGAACTGAGGCTCAATTTATTATTCTGTTGTTGTTTTTAATCTCCACGCTGAGTTTGCCTTCTAACACACCCAGAGAGTGTATCCAAGCAAGAGGCTGAGAAGGAGGGCAACAATGGAGTGGAGATGTGCTTAATGCAGACTCCACTAATAAATCACCGATAGTTAAGATATAGTTTGGATGATGGGCGGCAGATGGGAAGGAGGTACGTCAAATTGCTTTGCTCATATAGATTATTGGATTAACAAGGAAGCAGCAGGCAAGTGGCAAACTAGTGTAACAAATTGCTATCATTAAAAAGAAAAAATTGAACTTATCCCAGGATGGTAATAAGGCTCTGTAGGCCATTAGCCCTTGGGAGAGGTGCTTGAAGTGGGAATATCCCTCTGAGATGTTAATACAGAGAATGCTCTCCATGTTCCTCCTCCTCCCCTCACTGTTGTACCTAAGCACATCCTGGTGAGGGGAGGGGGAAGGGAGAAAGCCAGACTGCAGAGGGGAATGAATTAATGAGTGAGGCTATTAGCAGGCGCATACCCCGCCCAGTCAGTGATAAGCAGAAGTATATACACCACACCGTTCTGACAACTAATACTGGTTGCAACCAATACTTCCTTCTTTATTTGCCCACTCCATACCCTCTAACTTTTTATTTTGAAAATTTTCGAACCTACTGACAAGTTGCACTAGTAATAAAATGAGCACCTGATATTTTACAAGATTCACCAATTGTTAATATTTTGCCACATTTGCTTTGTCTTTCATTTTTCTTTTCCATTTTTGGTGAACTCTTAAGTGGTAGACATCAAAAGGCTGCAGTATGTATTTCTGAGAACAAGGTCATTCTCCTACATATTTACAATGGAATTTTCAGGAAATTTTAGCCTTGATAAGTAATATTATACAATATACAATCTATGTTCAAATTTCCCGAACTGTTCCAAAAATGTCTTTTATAGCTTTATAAAAAATCCAGGATTCAATCAAGAATTATGCATTGTTTAGTCATCATATTTGTTTAATAGTTTGTATTCTAGAACAATGCCTAGCCTTTCTTTTTAACTTTTAAGACACTGACATATTGAAGTGTCTAGACCAGTTGTTTTGCAGACTGTTTCTCAATTTAGATTTTTCTGATTGCTTCCTCATGATTAGAATAAGGTTAAACATTTTTGGCAGAACGTATTCTTTGTAGTACATCACATCAGGAGGCATATGTTGCCAGTTTGTCAAACTTGGTGATTGTAAGTTTCATCATTTGGTTAAGGTGATGCTATCACATTTCTCCATTATAAATGTAGCATGTTCCCTCTGTAATTAGTAAATAGTTCTGAAACTGGGTGATTATTAGATCAACATTTTATACAACAGTTTTAGCATGCTTTGATGATTTTTGCTTGAATCACTTATTACAGTGGTCATTGACAGCCTTAGAAAACCATCATTTAACATTCTTTCTACATTTATGAGTTACTATTCTTTTTTTTTTTTTCTTTTTGCGTTACGCGGGCCTCTCACTGTTGTGTCCTCTCAACCACTGCGCCACCAGGGAAGCCCGAGTTACTATTCTTTTGTAGAAATAAATATTTCTTTTTTTTCCATCCACTCCCATTGTTTTTGGTACCACTATGGCCTCGCAGAGATTTATTATAATCCATCCCTGCCATTACTTAAATTGATATTCTAGTTGTCTCAAATTTGGTCAATGGAAGCCCCTTTAATCTGGCATCCATGTTTTTATTTATTTATTTATTTTTGACATTTTCCTATCAGTGTTTGAGCACTTCTTTACTTTTTTTTTTTTTTTTTTTTGCGGTACGGCAGGCCTCTCTTTTTTTTGTCTCTTCTCCTGTTGCGGAGCACAGGCTCCGGACGCGCAGGCTCAGCGGCCATGGCTCATGGGCCCAGCTGCTCCGCAGCATGTGGGATCTTCCCGGACCGGGGCACGAACCCGTGTCCCCTGTTTCGGCAGGCGGACTCTCAACCACTGAGCCACCAGCGAAGCCCACTTCTTTACTTTTTGATTCAATTCAATACTCCTGGCTCACCTTGTACTTCACTGCCCCAGACTTAGGGTCAGTCAGTTTTCCAGGTAGTCCTGATTCCTTTGAATGGAAAGTGGTAGTTAGAAACCAAGATCAGGGTGATAAATACATTAACTGTTACTTAAGTGTAATTGTTCTAAGCACTTTCTTTGTACCCAGCAAGAAAATATATATTTTGATAAAGTCATGAGTTTGTACTTCCAATTCTAATCCAATACAACAGAGTTCTCCTTCCCCCTTTCCATATTTTTTTACCACTCTCCTACCATTAGAACTCTATGCCCCGCCCCAAACACCAATATATTTGCTCATTTGCTCAATTCTGCAATACACACAAAATAGTTTCAAACGATTCCACCACCAATAGTTTCTTTTCATCTTTAGAAAATATCCTACTGAAGGTGGGATGCAATCAGAGTACAGTGTTCAAAATTTACTTGAATTAATTCTGGCTTTGCTTCTTTGTGTTCATATTATCAATTTGACATACAGTTCAATTCATGTGTTTCTATATGTATTCAATTTCTAGATTTTACTATATGCTTGATAAATTAACAATGTTTTCTGAATATGCAAAACATTAATGTGGTTTAAAAGTGAAAACTAGATTGAAAGGTAAACTTAGAAAAATATTATTCCCTGTATTATTGCTTTATTTTCACCCTTCCCCAATAGTCAACCAATTTCTTTAGTTTCTGTTTTAACAATCTTGTGTTTCCCTTTGAAGATATTTATTTGTTTATATGTCTGTGTATTCTGATTTCCTTTTCTTTGTTACAAAAATGGTAGCAGACTATTTTTACCTTGTTCTTTTCCCTTTCAGTGTATTTTGAAATTAGAAGCTTCTTTCTAAATTCCTTTGCTCTGTTTTATTCAACTTCTCAGGCAATGAAATCATATCTCAGCTCCAGGTAAAATGAGTGCTTCTTGTAAAAAGGAGTTAAGAACATGAAAGCGATATGGGTTGTGTTTAACTGACACAGGGATTTAATGTGCATGTATTTCACTTAATATATTTCTAAGTGTGGTTCAAATGGTCCCTCAAGTCAGAAGCAGGCAAGGGTGCTCATTAAAATTCTTATTCCAAAGTTCCACTCCAGATCTACCTAATCAAACTGTCTGTAGGGTATAGCTGAGGAATATGCATTTTCAAACTCCTGGGTGATTCCATGGACCTTCAGAGAAACTTAGGCTATTATGAGAGGAATAAGTGACTGGGAAAGCCACAAACATGACTTATTGTCATGACAAAGTCTTTTCACTCAAGTGTCTAAGACCTAAGTCTGCTTTTCCTCTAAGGGCATGAAATTTTTCTTTTTAAATAAGAATTTGGTTTCTTTTGGAGTAAGGTCTGAGCCCATCTCCTTTGCTGGGGTAAGCCAGCTACATAAACTCTGTATTCTTCTTGGATCTTTGAGATGAATCAGAGAGTTGGATGGAGCACACTAGAACCACACAGAACCTTCCTCTAACCTCTAAACCTCAGGGTAGAGTTTCCAGGGAACACAGTGGCATTCCAAATGTTCAGGTTTCAATCCGTGTAACATTTTAGCCAGTGGAAACCAGGGGAAACAGGTGGGTGCTAACTTTAAGTATCTCAAAACTCTACCATTTCCATTGCTTCTCCCACCTTCCCTAGCCCTTCCATATTCTCCAGTATGGATTTGAATATGCCTATCTAAAGTTAAATGTTTTATTAAAAAATGGGATACTCTTGGGAGGAAGGTAAGGGAAATGAATCATCTATTCCATTTTGAAGCTGTGAAAACTGAGATGCAGAGAAGCAGTGTGAATGAAAGGCTAGATGGCTGGAGCAACCTTCCAGATACTGGGGGAGCCCTTCACAACACTGTGAAGTAGGTAAACCTTGTCTTTAATCACTCAATTTTAACAGTCAGTGTTTATCAGTTACCTACTATAAGCCAAGGACTTTGCTCCATGCTTTCCCTACTTTAGCTCATTACTTTTTATACCACATTTATGAAGCAGATACTATCACCATCTGTCTCTTACAGGTGAATACACTGCAACTTAAAGATGGTGTTACTTGTCCAATTCTCATAGCAAAGCAAGAGCTAAATCTATGTTGCTCTAACCAGAACCCAAGTCCTTAACTGCTGCATAACTGAAAAGGGCTTCCAGAAACATGTTTCTTTACGATACTAACCCAGGTGCTCAGTGTCACAACCTGTTAACTGCAGGTCTAAGGATCTCCACTTAACAGTTGACAACTTCTACCCCTCAAATTCTAAAGAGGCAGGGATTCAAGAAACTCTGTTGTGACCTTAGCCAAACTGCTGTGCTTTCCCAGGATTCAGTGTCCTCATTCTGTAAAAACAAGAAGGAAGGATAAAAAATTTTTTAAGTACACATATATATGTATATATATGTATATATATATAGCTCTTTCACTTCTGATAGCCTATAATCCAAATACCTGATTTACATTTTCACACTATAGTTTTGCTTGCTTCCTCTTTATTGTCTTAATATTTTAATGTGCCCCTCTTTATTCCCAAAGGCATCTGAATTCCAAAAGAGGCTAATATATTAACTCAAAGAAATGAGTTTCTAATAGAGCAAATTTCCAGACAGAGAATCCAATGAGTATTGAAACACTTGTATCCTGATTATATTTCTTTTCTCGTTCTGAGGATGGCTATGTTCAGAAAAACGCTCTCAGAGATAAGGCTGGATAAAATGGAAACCAGGCCCAGCTCCCTGAAACAGGGTTGGCAGAAATGAGGTGAGAACACAGGGCCCACAAGCCAGCTGGCATACATGGCAGGGGTCCCTCCCAGGCATCAGAGATTCAGGGGAACCATAGAAACCATATGTGTGAGAAACACTGGCAGAGAAGAGGGATAGCATATCAGAATTGTTTCCACGTGGGGTAAATCCCAGGAGATTTGATGTGATGGTGGTTTCCAGGACCCTGTCTTCCAGTACTGGGGAACAGAAACTCCTCTGCACCCCACCAACTAATGAGACAAGAACCACTTCTCTCATCCTCACCTCTGCCTGGTCTTTTCTGTTTCAGAAACATCTCTGCTGACAGTTGGCTGAATAGAAATGACCTAGCAATTTTAAGATTTGTGATGGCAAGACAGACATTATTTTGTCATGCCTCACAGTTCATGGCTCTGCTATATAGTAGGTAATAACTGTATACTGTATTAACTGAAGATACAGAATGAAGTCAAATTTCCAAGTTGGAGAAACCCAGTTTATCTTCTCGGTGAAATGAGACAATATGTAGCCGCAGCTCTTTTTTTTTTTTTTTTAACATCTTTATTGGCGTATAATTGCTTTACAATGGTGTCTTAGTTTCTGCTTTATAACAAAGTGCATCAGTTATACATATATATATATTCCCATATCTCTTCCCTCTTGCGCCTCCCTCCTTCCCACCCTCCCTATCCCACCCCTCTAGGTGGTCACAAAGCACCAAGCTGATCTCCCTGTGCTATGTGGCTCCTTCCCACTAGCTATCTATTTTACATTTGGTAGTGTATATACGTACATATTACTCTCTCACTTTGTCCCAGCTTACTCTTCCACCTCCCCATGTTCTCAAGTCCATTCTCTATGTCTGCATCTTTATTCTTGTCCTGCCCCTAGTCTCTTCAGAACCTTTTTTTTTTTTAGATTTCATATGTATGTGTTAGCATACAGTATTTGTTTTTCTCTTTCTGACTTACTTCATTCTGTATGACAGACTCTACGTCCATCCACCTCACTACAAATAACTCAATTTTGTTTCTTCATAAGGCTGAGTAATATTCCATTGTATATATGTGCCACATCTTCTTTATCCATTCATCTGTTGATGGACACTTAGGTTGTTTCTATGTCCTGGCTATTGTAAATAGAGTTGCAATGAACATTGTGGTACATGACTCTTTTTGAATCATGGTTTTCCCAGAGTATATGCCCAGTAGTGGCATATACAGGGCATTGTTGGGTTGTATGGTAGTTCTATTTTTACTTTTCTAAGGAACCTCCATACTGTTCTCCATAGTGACCATATCAATTTACATTCCCACCAACAGTGCAAGAGGGTTCCCTTTCCTCCACACCCTCTCCAGCATTTATTATTTATAGATTTTTTGATGATGGCCATTCTGACTGGTGTGAGGTGATACCTCATTGTAGTTTTGATTTCCATTTCTCTAATGATTAGTGATGTTGAGCATCCTTTCAGGTGTTTGTTGGCAATCTGTCTATCTTCATTGGAAAAATGTCTATTTAGGTCTCCTGCTCTTTTTTGGAAGGGGATGTTTGTTTTTTTGATACTGAGCTGCATGAGCTATTTGTAAATTTTGGAGATTAATCCTTTGTCACTTGCTTCATTTGCAAATATTTTCTCCCATTCTGAGGGTTGTCTTTTGGTCTTCTTTATGACTTCCTTTGCTGTGCAAAAGCTTTTAAGTTTCATTAGGTCCCATTTGTTTATTTTTGTTTTTATTTCCCTTTCTCTAGGAGGTGGGTCAAAAAGGATCTTGCTGTGACTTATGCCATAGAGTGTTCTGCCTATGTTTTCCTCTAAGAGTTTTATAGTCTCCGGCCTTACATTTAGGTCTTTAATCCAGTTTGAGTTTATTTTTGTGTATGGTGTTAGGGAGTGTTCTAATTTCATTCTTCTACATGTAGCTGTCCAGTTTTCCCAGCACCACTTATTGAAGAGGCTGTCTTTTCTCCATTGTATATTCTTGCCTCCTTTATCAAAAATCAGGTGACTATATGGGCATGGGTTTATCTGTGGGCTTTCTATCCTGTTCCATTGACCTGTATTTCCGTTTTTGTGCCAGTACCATACTATCTCGATTACTGTAGCTTTGTAGTATAGTCTGAAGTCAGGGAGCCTGATCCCTCCAGCTCCGTTTTTCTTTCTCAAGATTGCTTTGGCTATTCGGGGTCTTTTGTGTTTCCATACAAATTGCGAAACTTTTTGTTCTAGTTCTGTGAAAAATGCCATTGGCAGTTTGATAGGGATTGTACAGAATCTGTAGATTGCTTTGGGTAGTTGAGTCATTTTCACAATGTTGATTCTTACAATCCAAGAACATGGTAAATCTCTCCCTCTGTTTGTATCATCTTTAATTTCTTTCATCATTGGCTTATAGTTTTCTGTATACAGGTATTTTGTCTCCTTATTTAGGTTTATTCCTAGGTATTTTATTCTTCTTGTTGCAATGGTAAATAGGAGTGTTTCCTTAATTTCTCTTTCAGATTTTTCATCATTAGTGTATAGAAATGCAAGAGACTACTGTGCATTCATTTTGTATCCTGCTACTTTACCTAATTCACTGATTAGCTCTAGTAGCTTTCTGGTAGAGTCTTTAGGATTTTCTATGTATAGTATCATGTCATCTGCAAACAGTGACAGCTTTACTTCTTCTTTTCCAATTTGGATTCCTTTTATTTCTTTTTCTTCTCTCATTGCTGAGGCTACAACTTCCATAACTATGTTGAATAATAGTGTAAGAGTGGACAACATTGTCTTCTGCCTGATCATAGAAGAAATAGTTTCAGTTTTTCACCATTGAGAACAATGTTGGCTGTGGGTTTTTCATATATGGCCTTTATTATGTTGATGTAAGTTCCCTCTATGCCCACTTTCTGGAGGGTTTTTATCATAAATCGGTGTTGAATTTTGTTGAAAGCTTTTTCTGCATCTATTGAGATGATCATATGGTTTTCTCCTTCAATTTTTTAATATGGTGTATCACATTGATTGATTTGCGTATACTGAAGAATCCTTGCATTACTGGGATAAACCCCACTTGATCATGGTGTATGACCCTTTTAATGTGCTGTTCAATTCTGTTTGCTAGTATTTTGTTGAGGATTTTTGCATCTAAATTCATCAGGGATATTGGCCTGTAGTTTTCTTTCTTTGTGACATCTTTGTCTGGTTCTGGTGTCAGGGTGATGGTGGCCTCATAGAATGAGTTTGGGAGTGGTCCTCCCTCTGCTATATTTTGGAAGAGTTTGAGAAGGATAGGAGTTAGCTCTTCCCTAAGAGTTTGACAGAATTAGCCTGTGAAGCCATCTGGTCCTGGGCTTTTGCTTGTTGGAAGATTTTTAATCACAGTCTCAGTTTCAGTGCTTGGAATTGGTCTGTTCATATTTTCTGTTTCTTCCTGGTTCAGTCTTGGAAGGTTATACCTTTCTAGGAATCTGTCCATTTCTTCCAGGTTGTCCATTTTATTGGCATAGAGTTGCTTATAGTAGTCTCTTAGGATGCTTTGTATTTCTGCAGAGTCTGTTGTAACTTCTCCTTTTTCATTTTGGATTTTATTGATTTGAGTCCTCTCCCTCTTTTTCTTGATGAGTCTGGCTAATTGTTTATCAATTTTGTTTATCTTCTCAAAGAACCAGCTTTTAGTTTTATTGATCTTTGCTATTGTTTCTATTTCATGTATTTCTGCTCTGATCTTTATGATTTCTTTCCTTCTGCTAACTTTGGGTTTTGTTTGTTCTTTCTCTATTTCCTTTAGGTGTAAGTTTAGATTGTTTATTTGAAATGTTTCTTCCTTCTTGTAGTAGGCTTGTATTGGTATAATCTTCCCTCTTAAAGCTGTTTTGCTGCATCCCATTGGTTTTGGATTGTCGTGTTTTCATAGTCATTTGTCTCTAGGTATTTTTTTAATTTCCTCTTTAATTTCTTCACTGATCTCTTGGTTATTTAGCAATGTATTGTTTAGCCTCCATGTGTTTGTGTTTTACGTTTTTTTCCTGTAATTCATTTCTACTGTCATAGTACTGTGGTCAGAAAAGGTGCTTGATATGATTTTAATTTTCTTAAATTTACTGAGGCTTGATTTGTGACCTAAGATGTGATCTATCCTGGAGAATGTTCCTTGTGCACTTGAGAAGAAAGTGTAATCTGTTGCTTTTGGATGGAATGTCCTATAAATATCAATTAAATCTATCTGGTCGACTCTGTCATATAAAGCTTGTGTTTCCTTATTAATTTTCTGTTTAGATGATCTGTCCATTGTTGTAAGTGAGGTGTTAAAGTCCCCCACTATTGTTGTGTTAATGTTGATTTCCTCTTTTATAGCTGTTAGCAGTTGCCTTATGTATTTAGGTGCTCCTATGTTGGGTGCATATATAGTTATAATTGTTATATCTTCTTCTTGGATTGATCCCTTGATCATTATGTAGTGTCCTTCTTTGTCTCTTGTATCATTCTTTATTTTAAAGTCTATTTTATCTGATATGAGTATTGCTACTCCAGCTTTCTTTTGATTTCCATTTGTGTGGAATATCTTTTTTCATCCCCTCACTTTCAGTCTGTATGTGTCCCTAGGTCTGAAGTG